TGTCTACATTCCAAAAAAATGGGTATATGCTGCTGAATTTTCTGCAACATGATCAAAATGGGTCAAAACATGTCAAAACTGGATTGGGACCGGACCGGGTCAAAATCGGACCGTGTCAAAACCGGACTGTACCCAATCCAAGTTTTGGTCCCCATATTTCAAAAAAGACCGGACTGGACCGGATCAATTCGGGCCAATTTAACCGGACCGGACCGTATCGCCACCCCTAGTACCGCATATCTTGAGTAAGTAAACGCTATCCAGAACTTGAATTGACTGATCTTTCGGGCATGAAACTATACTCTAACCCTTAAAGATCAAAATCTACGTCTTAATTCTCTAAATCTTATACCCCAAGATCAATTTAATTAGAAACAATAATCGACGGTTATGATTCGTCCAAATATAGGCAAAAAAATCAATGCACCATTTAGGGTTTATAGTTTATGATTTAGATAATCAAGACCTAGGGTCCACTCATTAAGGGTTAGAGTATAGTATCGTGCCCAAAAATCCTGCTAATTCGAGATCTAGATAGGTTTTGAAGTGTACTTCTCTCCAAAGTTAACTTCAGGGTACACCCCTAAGCAAATACTTACCAACTATACATTAATTCCTTTGTCTTTTCCCCCTTCAATTTCGCTGGAAAAAACCCCTAAATATCTTAAAGTGATATAAGATTCATTCTATAATCTTTCTAAATAATTTGAATTATTACAAAAAATTTACAATTGTTTTGTGTTCGAATAACCACAGTAATCCCAAATATTAACAATTAATTTAAACACAAAGTATGCTAGATCTATGAAAATTTCAATCTCATAAATCTGAGTTTCATTTAAGAGGACATGTTTGAGAGTGATATAACATTCGTTCTACATCTTCCAACTAATTAAGTTATCGAAATTAATAAATTCTTAACAGAATGGTTTGTGTCCATCAACTTTAATCTATCAAATACAGATACATATAAAACTTGTAACAAATCAAAGAGTATAAAATATCTGGTAACCCCAGCTCGATTGAGTGGAACCAAGCAAATATTCTTTTGTCACGTTCCAAACAAGTTGTTTTTGAAATTCCACTTGTTCTCGATCGTGACTTCCATTCATTATTCCAACCGCAATACTGCTTCAAGAAAACCTCAGTACGTGGTTTTTGTTGTTTGGCATTGAAACCCATTAATGGCTTGGATCAGGGGCGGACCCAAGAGGGTTTAGGGGTGTCCGGACACCCCTAAATTTTGGGAAAACGATTATCCAACCCCGGTGATAATTTACGTATGGACAAAAAAAATATAATTGATAGTGAGGGACACTCCTTAAATTTGAAAAAATGATTATCCTACTGTCATTTGTGTATAGGAATATAAGTGGTAGGTTGGATAATTCAAAACTAGAACACTATTATTATTAATAAACTTAATTTCCGTTGAGCTAAACTCATTTGTTGTTCGATTTTGAACAATGTGTAATAGTAAAATGGCATTCCCTATCTCTAATTATTTTAAAAACCTAACAATTAAACTAATTTCAAAGTACCCTTAATTTGTATTGATTTTATGATTACGAAAAGTGTTGAAAGATTCTTTCAGCTTTGGGTTACATCAAGAACAAGTTTACAAATCGAATATGCGATAAGTTCGTGAATGATTGTCTAGTAGTGTGTATAGAGACAATTTTTTTAACACTATAGACACCAAGTGTATTCTACAATTATTTTCGAATATGAAAACACATCATGGACTTTTTTAACCTGTACGAGTAAGGTATTTTCATATTTACAATTTTATTTTTATTATTTTTTTATTTTTTAAAAGAGGACACCCCTATGAAAAATTTCTGGGTCCGCCACTGGCTTGGATACCTTGTAGTTTCCACAATGTGTAAATCCCATGTTTAATCCAATATGTGTATCATTATAAAAGCAAGAATCATATAAGTTCCAAAACAAAGCACCATATATCGTGCCTACAACTATAAACCCTAAATCCTATATTCGTTTGTATATACATTTTTTAGGTTAATAGCATGTTTTGTCCCTTGACTATGATTCTTTTACATATACATTTCACAACAGAGTTATCCATTTATCATAACGATTTCTCAAACATATTCCTCCGCAAAAAAAAAAAAAAAAAAAAAAAAATCATCAAAACATCCGTCAAATACGATCAAGCCATAATCTCATGGAGCTGAAATGACCAAATTACCCCCTCACCATTTGCAAAGAAACAAAATAAAAACAAATCAAAATTTAAATTAAAAACCAGACCACCAATATGCTATTAGCCCCCCTTTTATGTACTATAGTATGATATGATAACACATAAGAATACAAAATAACGAAACAGATAAAGAAGGTTCACCGTCTGCGTGTGAACGACCTAGCTGAGGTGGCGGACCCAGAAAATTTTCATAGGGGTGTCCTCTTTTAAAAAATAAATTAAATAAAAATAAAATTGTAAATATGAAAATACCTTACTCGTATAGGTTAAAAAAGTCTATGATATGTTTTCATATTCGGAAATAATTGTAGAATACACTTGGTGTCTATAGTGTTAAAAAAATTGTCTCTATATACACTACTAGACAATCATTCACGAACTTATCGCATATTCGATTTGTAAACTTGTTCTTGATGTAACCCAAAGCAAAAAGACTCTTTCAACACTTGCCATACAATCATAAAATCAATACAAATTAAGGGTAGTTTGAAATTAGTTTAATTGTTAGGTTTTTAAAATAATTAGAGATAGGGAATGCCATTTTACTCACATTGTTCAAAATCGAACAACAAATGAGTTTAGCTCAACGGAAATTAAGTTTATTAATAATAATAGTGTTCTAGATTTGAATTATCCAACCTACCACTTATATTCCTATACACAAATGACAGAAGGATAATCATTTTTCAAATTTAAGGGTGTCCCTCGCTATCAATTATATATATATATATATATATATATTTCCATACGTAAATTACTACCGAGGGTTGGATAATCGTTTTCCCAAAATTTAGGGGGGACACCCCTAAACCCTCCTGGGTCCGCCCCTGGCTGAGGTTCCAGGTCGGGTAACACTTTCGTTGTCAGCGAGTCCTCGATAAACCGAGTTGACCCCCTACAAGATACGAGAGCCTCTTAGTTTTTTCCAATAGTTCATTCACGACTTTCACGAACCAGATGTATATCAGATCAACAACTAAAAAAATTTACCTATGAATTCCTCGCCATAAAAATGGTAAAAGACCAGAGGGTCGTGGAACAACTTTGTCTTTGGGCACACAAGACAAGTCGGGACCAAACTCCCCTCAAACAACACGTCTACAGCCTGTTTGTCTGTCTTTGCCTGTCTCGTCCATATTAAGTTTTGGATCAAATGATCAATCCATACATATAAAAACAAAATCCCTTTATGGTAGAAACTAGAAAGGATTGGAGTTTACTAGAATATTGGACATACTAATCTAGCAAAATTCAAATACTAAATCTTTTTTTTCTAATGCTGAAATAGGATTAATTATTAAAAAAAATATAAATAAATAAGGGAAAACATAGGCAGCCAATAATAGCAGCCGTGAACGAATTAGTAACCATGAGTTACCCATCCATGACATCACTATCTTTCTCCTGGAAAGTCTTTTATCTTTTCTCCTTTAATCTTTAACGAACGATTTCTCTCTCGTTTTAAGTCAAAATTTAAATTTTTTTGCACAGATGAATCAGATTAAATGTGCTCTTTAAAATGATATCCACTTTGGTATATTTTTAGTACAAAAAAAATTGAATATTTTTTTACCAGTCATTACCATATGGTATGCTCATATTTAATACCATATGGTAAGAAAGCGTACCATGATGGTATGAACATACCAATATGGTAAGAAGGTTGAATGCATGATAATAGGAGTATAATAACTGTCATTTACGACTTTCCTCATTGTTACCATAAGTTACCACGCACATACCATAGTGGTAAAGTATGGTAATTTTTGGTCCAGTATTTTTTTCACCCAAAATAGATCATGATGAACTCGTTCCTTCTAAGCAAACGTTTTCAAAAACGACTTAAAAACGAAGAAGTTACCATATGGTATGTAGTTGGTAAAAAAAAAAGTTTCTCGGAATATATTGAAAATTGATCTCATTTTGTAGAGCACAACGAACTCGTTCCATGTGTGCAAAAAAAATTAAAATCCAAGTTAGAACGAAGAAGATAAGAGCCAATTATGAAAACTAGGGAAAATAAAATGTTTTTAATTGACAACCCTTAGATCTGGAATTTCTGGGCCCACTTAAATCTAAAGGTCCAGATTTAGTTACTAATAGATCGGTAACTATTGGTTACTGACGCTATCCTAAGCCATAGCAGCCGCCTGCACATGAGGCACTTATAAACAAAACGACAAAAGAAAAACGCAAATTATTATGGTATGAAAGGACCATAACTACAAAAGAAATTAAGGACGGACATGTATGACAGAGTACATAGCTAACTATTCTTTCGGTCTTTTCACTAAATTATCACTCGAACCTATATTTACAGAGAATACATACATGTCACCCGTTAATCAAAATCGTTTCGTTCGTATTTGTTATCGAAATTAATAAATATAAACGATACAAACTTCAAAACTCGAGCCCGATCACCTCGACCCTCAATTTTTCGGGAAGTTAACGAAGTGGATATTCGAAGTGGTTGAACTCTAAACGACCATATAAATCGAGTAATCATCAGTCCGTACGTACCGACCGATGGCGAAGCAAAAAAAAAACCCGAATGCCGAATTCGAAACATGAATATACATTTTTTCACAGATTACGCACGTGAAAAAAAAAACCATAAGATGAAACCAGTTGCTCCTGCTTGTTATCGGTTAACCGGTCAAACCGACATGAACCAACAAGCCTTTGTTGTGGTTAGCTTAGTTGTTTTCCATCTATCTATCTATCTAATGTGGAAAAGAAGATCAAAAAAGGGAGATGAAATTTCCATTGATTAATTAATAATCTGGCGGTGGTCACCGCGTAACGAGCAGAGCAATAAAGCGAGCTGCTGCTGTCCCCACTCCAAGCTGTCGTCATCGTACCCATAACCACCGCCACCGAGGAAACTGGTCCCCACGCGCCGCCGTCCGAGGTTCAAATCTTCCGTCTGCAAGACTCCTGTCCGGCAGAGCGGGCACGTCATCGTCGCCGCCGTCGGCGGCGACCCTTTGGCTCTCTTCTTCCGTGCTTCCAATGCGAGCCACGTGTCGACGCAGTCCTTGTGGAACGTGTGCCGGCACCCCAGCTCCCTGACGGCGTCGCCTTTCTCGAGCTCGCAGAGGCACACGGCGCAGTCCTCTCCCGGCGGCGGCGGCGCGTGGTAGTGGTAATGAGGGTACTTCTCGTCGATGAGGCGGCGGCGGCGGTCGTCGTCGTCGGTGGAGGCGGAGGAGGGGGAGGCGGAGGTGGTGGTGGTGGTGGAGGAGCGGGAGCGGAGGACGGTGGTGAGTTTGAGGAGGAGGAGGTTGAGGAAGAACTTGGCGACGAGGTAGAGCTCGGAGAAGACGATTGGCATCGCCGCCATTGTTGGTTTTGTGTGGAGATGAGAGGAAATTATCTCTGTGGTTTGGGGATATATATAGAGATGAGAAATGAGGTTGGAGGAGTTTGTGTATACATTAGTGTGGAGAGTTAGGTGGCTATTTGTATAAAAAAATGTGGTCCAACCATTTTGTACCGTTAAACAGTCTCACGATTTGGAATTCGATAATTGATAGAGTGATTCAGGGGCGGAGGTACTTAGAGACTAGGATGGGCCCCGACCTACCCGGAAATAGTCTCGGCCTCCTAGAACCGTAAGGATATTTAGATAAAATTTGGATAAATAGTGTTTGACCTATACATTGTATCATGCAACAATCATGTAATCTACTTGTAGATAAGCTAAATCATTAGTTTAAAGTAAACAGGCTCGATACACAACAACCTCATTTTAACTACTTTTTGGACTTTATTATCTTAATTCTCCTTCACAAGGTCCTGGACCAAAGCAAACGGAAACTCATTTTCATTCTTTTTGTTACTTTTTAATCCAACTACAAATGAAAAAATCAACCTCTATTTAGTTCACATGGGATTTTTAGCTCTTTATAGAAACTATATGATCTATTTTTTTTATCTATGTCAGAATCAACAAAAAGATGATTGTCAAAAGAATTTTATTTTGTTGATATGTTGATTTGTCTTCTTCTAACTCTTCCAAATTTCCAAAGCTACATGTGATCGTGCATGTTTTCAGGTATAAAGATAATGAAGAATAGATTGCGAAACAAAATAAATGATGATTTTCTTGTTAATGATTTAGTTATTTATATGGAAAGAAAGATAGCTAAATTTTTTAGTTTAGATGCTATTTTGAAAGATTTGAATGATCTCAAAGAACGTTGTATATTTTTAAAAAATTTATTTTATTTTTATTTACATTTATCTATTTTCGGCCCACCGGCCGATCTCGAAATCCTTGCTCCGCCCCTGGAGTGACTGGTACAATATGATTTTTAAAATATGGAAAACACACGCAATATTAAGAGTTGAATAATGACCTAAAGGTATTATGTTCGTGTTTGTATATGGTATACTAACGAATATTAAACCATTGTACATTGGTATATATGGTGTGTGGTGTAGAATGTCAAATTGAGTTAATGAAACCTTTATACACAAGAGTGTTGTATAAGAAGATGATGTATATTTTTAGACCGGATTCTACATATTAGTATGATATTGCTTATTTAAGTCAAATATGTGACACTTGGATTTTACCCGACAATAATGTTTATTATTCGGCATTTATGTGGATTTTCTGGATTATGAGATCATTTTCTTTTTCCAAGTTTATGAAATTGAAAAATTGTAAATAAATGTGTTGGTTACAATTTATATGAATGTCAGAACAAAAAACAAAAGTGGTTTCAATTTAATCAATGGTGGCATTGGAATGTTTGGACTGGAAAAAGCTTTTCTTGGTCAACAAATCCCCTTTTTTACGGGCTTGGTTCAATGTTGGTATGTCCTCCATTTATACCATGCCAGGTCCCAAGTTTTTGAAATTAGTGAAATTTTCATTTTTGTGTGTGAAGGATGTTTTTATTGGGATGACAATTCTGACATGAACTATTTTATTCGTGTTGTTCAAATTTATTTTGAGTGAATATTATATATCATATGGGTGGGGCGGGGTGGACATGAATCATTTTTTTTTCCGAGACGTGATTTGTTTTATTTATGTGTGATATTATTAAAGTTATTATAATTTTAATTTTCTTATGTTATATTTTAGATATGAAAAACCTAAGAGTTTCTATTTTATAATAATTTAACTTCATTTATCATATCATAACCTATTTTATAAAGTAATGGTTGTTTCTCAATTTCATAATGAAAAATTCAATATCCTAAGTGTTTTCCCCCTTTCGAATGCATACCCCGAATAGGACGATATATCTCCACTCGTAGACAAAATACTCAATCTAAACCCTAATCTATCATGCAACTGTGTATAGGTACCTCGATCTGGCGCGTCGTTGCCATTTCTACTAATGATACCATCATTAATATAATCTTCAACCTGAACATCACATATTTGAATCTAGGAATGAATTTCTCCTCTCCAAATCCAAACTCTCTTTACAGGAATTGTCATTTGTAACGCGATACTAAGTATTTATTCTTCGGATATCCATAAAGTATTCATTCATTCTCAAGATCAAACGTGTTTTTGGTGTAAAAATATAAATCCATGTCGAAGACAATTAGGGGTTGTTTGGAAGTTGTGATTCTTCAAATTGATGTATTGGAACAATTAGTGTATTATCATTTGATGGATTGAATCAATTGATGTATTAGGTAAATATCTTGTTTGGAGGTTTAGATTGTGCTTTTGTTCCAAAGGTAAAAATGTTAGTATTGAGTGATTGTGAAGAATCTCAACAAAAAGTAGAGATTGTAAATCCCTCAATATTGAGTGATTGTGGTGGGGCCTCCAAAAAGTAAATGCATGTATTCTAGTTCTATATAAACCAAAAAAACGACTTAATCTCACAAATACATGAATTAGATCAATACATCATTTGAAATCACAACTTCCAAACGACGCCTAAATATGTTGCAATGCTACCTTTCCATCCCCATCCCATGTGCTTTTATGGGCAACTGATATTTGGATTTGCAGAAGATATGGGCTCTCGACTCTCCACCTTTTGTTGTGCTAATTAACACTATAAAAGGTTTGAACAAATTTCTGGGTCTCTATCTATTTGAATGGTTTGTCTATTTTTACCACGTGTTACTTAATTTTATTTTCAGGGAATCTAGTCAAATAGTGTCATCTTACAATAGAGTAAACTAATCCATAAATCTTCAAGGTAGTAGAAATTTGTTTGACGTGACGGGAAAAAACGTGTAATTTAGATGACACATATTGAATTTTGAAAAAGGTGTAATTAGGGTTGTCATTTTTTTGGTTTCGATCTCTTTTACTTGAATCGAAACCGACATGATAAGGTGCATTTAGCGGTTCCCAAACCATTTTGCACCTGATCGAATTTGGTTTCGTTAAAACAAAAAAAAAAAATAGACCTACAAGAAAACAAAATTTGCAACCCCATTACACAATTCTCACGGTTTGATGCCTTGAAACCAAGACGAATTGCTAAGAAGTATTAATATTTTCTGTTAACCGAAACCGTTAAACCTCTTACGGTTCAACACTAATTTTCACGATGTAATAGACTAACGAATATAATATATATTTTTGTAATACTATTATTCGAGAATTAACTTAATCGAATCCTTTCAATCCAGTCTAACAGCGAGCAAGACGTACTCTACATCCTTGCCACTTCCCCCCATGGTAAATTGAGTTAACTAGAGAATTTGGAAACGGAATCAAAAGTCGGTACTTAATTTGGAGTTGAAAAAAAGCAAACTATATTGAACAATCGGGATGTGGGTACAATCTGTTTGTAGCAGCGAATCAAGAAAATTGTCGGTCTGATAGTTTCAATTTCTGCATCATTCCAACTACATAAAGTGTGTGCAATTAAATGAGTCGGTCTATTCGAATTTCGACCTACAAAGTGAAAACTCAACTTGCAAGTACTACAGATCAGCAATTAATCTCCACCTCAGCCGCATAGTCGGTTTGCATTTTCTGTATGGTCAAGAGAACCAAGTTGCCCAAAGATTCTAGAACTCAGTTTCTTAATCAATTTGGTTGAGGGTCATAATTACTAGTGTGGGTTAGGTGTTTGTTAATCTTTGGAGACCAAAAACATCTTTAATATTGTAGAGCCTAATAAACACAATCATCATCTCAAAAAAGGAGAGATTATATCTTAATTGGTTAAAATCGGGTTGGGTCGATCAATGAATCCAGGAACCCGGTTGACCGGTCCAGGCTATGATGTGGTCGATGGGTTGTTGCTCTTTATCCATCACTATCATATTCCCACTCCCCACCCAACTTCTTGCCTTAATTTTTATTTTAACCACCAATCCGCCATGCTACACAACTTGCCCATGGTGCTTGCCACGTTTGAAAGAGAATTTTATGGTTAATAAGGAAAGTTATCGAATTTCATGGTCAAATAATTCTGAGGATGTGCACCGATTCGGTTTATATTGGATCAAACTGGAATGATTCGCCATTTAGGACAGATCTGACATACCCATTATAATATTATTACAATTCGACAAGTCTTGTTAGTGGTTAAGAATGTCAAGAACCAGTTGACCTCAGTACCTCGAGTTGTTGGGAAAGGTTCAATATTGAATTTTATATCACATACTATGAGCAATAAGTATATCATGTGCTTAGTATGTGGTTACGGGTTAAGGATGTCAAGAGCGCAGTTGATCTCAATACCTCAAGTCTTAAATCACCCCTCAAAATCAAGGTATTGAGAGCACCATGGTGTACGTCACTGGTTAAGTATGTCAAGAACCAGTTGATCTCAATATCTCAAGTCTCAGAAACCCCATGTGTTTACCAAGACTCGAAAATGTCTCTCGGTCACAGAAGGCTCTGATACTATGTTACTTAATAACCAGTTGATTCCAATAATTCGAATTGTTGTGACCTGGGAAAGGTTCGGTAATTAATCTTATACCATTAGGAAAAAAAAAGCAAATAAAATCAATATATAACCAGATCGAGTCGGACCAAATGCATTAACAATCTAATTCTGATTTTTCAAAAAATTTATCCATTAATTATCCGGTTCTTCTTCCCTCAATTCGACCCGATTCTGGACCAAATCCAACATATCCATAAGCAACATTGGCAACATTGTCTCCCTATAATTCTTATATACGGCTTCTTTAGTTTAATGCTTTACCAGGAACACAATAATTTGGCTTGTGAAAGGATGCAGAAAGACGTTACGACCAAGGAAAGGGTATATTAGGGTAGCTATTTTATTAGATGAATTGAAATGAAAGAAAATCAGTTATTGCGTTCTGAGTCAGGCATGACATCAATACGTATAGTATGGCCAATTTGCCAATCTCTTTCTCAGCTACAAA